AGACCTGATCAAACCCTCAACACTCTCCTACGCCCAGCGTGCTGGATCAGCCGTAAGGTCATATGTGAGGTGATATCTCAGCCTTATAAGCCTTCTGCTGTCCTATTATACAGTTCCTCGATAATATGAGAAACCACGAAAGCGCTCAGATATTCACTGTTGTTTTCCCAGTGAATATATATATATATATATATATATATATATATATATATATATATATATATATATATATATATATATATATATATATATATATATATATATATATATATATATATATGTCGTGCCGAATATGTAAAACTGGTCAATTAGCAAGAACTCATTTAAAATTAAGTCCTTTCTAAAAATTTCTCTTATACGTTTAAAGATATATATTTTTCATTAATGTTAATGTAAAAATTTATAATTGTGCATCAAAAGAATCTTAGAAAACTTACCTAACCTTATTATAGCAAGAACAGTTTATTTTAGCCTAACTCCAACTAAATATATTTTAGATTTGTTTACAATAATTTAATACTAAACAAACACAGTGAAATATATTTTTTTCGTTAGGTTCAGAATGATTTTGGCGAAATTATTGCATACACAAATTTTCGCTTGTCTCATATGGCAAGATGAGCGTTGCTATTTAAGCCAAGATCGCAAGTTCTGCCTATTCGGCACGACATATATATATATATATATATATATATATATATATATATATATATATATATATAATGCACGTCTACCTTTTTTCACGAAAACTGAGTAACATATACCTAACTGAACCTTGCTTATATAACCCAACTTAAGCTATTTTAGGCTAACTTAATGTAATTTAATGTAACTTAGACTACCACTACCATCATCACTACTACCACGGCCACCATCACTACTACCACTACCACCATTACTGTTATCTCTACCATCATCGGTACAACCACTACCACCATTACCAAACAACCACCACCTACTCCCACCACTGTAACGACCACCTAACCACCACTATAACAACCACCTCAAACACCACCATAACGACAACCAAAACCACCATCTTAAACACCACTATAACTACCACCACCACCCATTGGAGTCGCACCAGTGGTCATGAAAGGCAGGGAAGGAGGTCAGTGGAGCGACAAGCTGCCTCCGGGACCCTAATTGGGCACTGCAGGAGACCTGCTCTCAACCCTGTACCCAAAATATTCTGTGGTCGTGGTGGATGCGATAGTTGTGATAGTAGTGGTGGTGGTGGTGATAGTGATGGTGTTGGTGATAGTGGTGGTGATGGTGGTGGTGATGGTGGTGGTGATGGTGGTGGTGATGGTGGTGGTAGGGATGGTGGTGGTAGTGATGGTGGTGGTGGTGATGGTGGTGGTAGTGATGGTGGTGATATTGGTGGTGATGGTGGTGGTGGTGATGGTGGTGGTGGTAGTAGTGGTAATCGTAGTTATTCTGCTTGTTGTGGTTACACAAATTATCAACATTTTAATACCGTGTTTAGTATAGTATTTCCTAAAAAGAGTTACAACGTAAGTCTCCATGTTTGCAGACTTTTTGTTCAACAGGTTCTTGTTCAACGGGTTCTTGTTCAACAGGTCCTTGTTCAGCATATTCTTAAGAAGTGTGTTTCTCATTTTTGGACCTCCAGCTTCAGTAGGCAGTGCGTTCCAGTCAGTGTTTTGACAACTTTGCTATTATATATGTTACCTACGTTTGTGTTGCCTCTCTTGTCTCGGAGTCCCATGGTGGTATTTTTCTCTGATTTGAACCTTAGTTTGTGTGTTTGTCGAATGTGTTTAGTCTCTCAGAGATTTAAACGAGATAACATCATAGTCTCAATGCCACAAGTGAGAAAGAGAGAGAAATTAATGTATAAAATATGAGAGAGGAAGTAAAAATAAGACAGAGAGTGAACAGAGAGCACACACAAATGAGAGGCACAGAAATATCTCTCAGTCTCATGAGAGACAGAAATATCTTTCAGTTTTCTAGGCTGTAATCTCACCGTCTATCTGAGAGATGATGGGGAACCGGATCATTATCATGGTTAGCCCTTGAGAGTTTAGAGCTTCCCCTTGAAATAATAATGATAATCAAATAATAATTATTATTTTTTGATAAGAAATCTGAGCAATAACAAGCTCTCCCTTCTCTCTCTTCCCTCCACTCTCCCTTTCCCCTCCTTCCTGCATTCCTCCTTTCACGCCACTCACCCTTTTCCCTTCTCCCTTTACATCCTCCAGGAAGGTTGTCACCACAAGTTTTGCGGTACTGTGACTTCGCGTTCGTGATTCTTGCAGACGCATTTACCCTGCCGCCCTCTCCTGTCTCTCCCTGCCACTCCCTGCGGCCCTCCCCTGCCTCTCCCTGCAGCCCTTCCCTGCCTCTCCCTGCCACCCATTCCCTGCCATCGCTGCTGAGACCTCCATAACACTCCCTGACTAACGCTCCTTCTCCCTACCCTCCCTTATCAGCCCCTGCTTCTTCCCTCCCTCCTTCTTCCCCTCTTCTTCCCCCTCTCTACTGTTTTGGGTTCTTAACAGAAGTTCAACAGAGGCTTAACAGAAGTTCAACAAAGGTAAGTTTCCACGTTGGTTCAAACAGAGAATAACTTGCTGAGTCAACAGAAGTTCAGACTTGAGGGAGAAAGAGAGAGAGAGAGAGAGAGAGAGAGAGAGAGAGAGAGAGAGAGAGAGAGAGAGAGAGAGAGAGAGAGAGACTTTTAATGATTGAGTGTACAGTGTACTAAGGTACTAAGAGACGGGGACGACTAGGATTCATTAATAAAATAAGCTTAGGATAGGTGTAGCTAGGATAGGTGTTGCTACGATAGGTGTAGCTACGATAGGTGTTATTAGGATAGATGTAGCTAGGATAAATGTAACTAAAATAGGTATTGATAGGATAGTTGTGGCTAGTACTAGTGTAGCTAGGTGTTTGTGTAGGAGAGGTACATCAGGGATATGTGTAACTAGGACAGATGTGACTAGGTGTGGCTAGGATACCGTAGCTAGCAACAAGTGGCTGCAACAGGATCAACAGGTGACTGCAACGGGGGCAATAAGTGACTCCAACAGGGACCTCAGTTGACTGTAACATTAACAACAGTCGACTGTAACAGGAGCAACAGGTGACTGTAACAGTGGCAATAAGTGACTCTAACAGGAAAAATAGTCGCTCTAACGGTAACAACAGGCGACTCTAACAGGAACAACAGCAGTTGACACTAACAGGAGTAACAGGTGACTGTAAGAGGAGCAGTAACAGGTGACTGTAAATTACCCAGTATCTCGGGGTCTGGGACCAACAAAACATAACACTAGGCCTAGTTTAGGTCTCTACTCTTCAAAACGGCCCCAGGACCGACTTACTTTCCATTATCAGTCACGATTGATGATGCAGCAATATTTTTGAAATGTCAGTTATTGATGTCAAGTGTGTGTGTGTGTGTTTGCAGGAAGCTCTAAACTCGTGCTGGTCGTTCAACGTCGCGTGTTCTGTAGTCTCTATCCTACGTCATTATGTCCGTGGCTGGCGGCCACTCGGACTATTGATGTTCACTGAAGGTAATAGTAGTGATTGTACCTAGTAGTACTACTACCACTACTACTACTATCACTGCTACTACCACTGCTACTACCACCACTCCTACCACCACCACTACTACTACTAATTTTACTAGTTTCGGACCACTAAAGCAAGCTAATAATATTAATAATATTAATGGGTATTTCAATAGGCTTATCAACAGGCGTATGAATGAGCGTATGAACGGGCGTATGAGTGCGTTAGGCAGCCTCATACAGAGAGCAACAGGTGACCTAGCCCAGGGCATCCACCTGTAGCTTCATACACACAATCTTTTAATGTGTGAGTGTTGAAGAAACATGTGTGAGTGTTGGAGAGACATGTGTGAGTGTTGGGGAAACATGTGTGAGTGTTGGAGAGACATGTGAGTGTTGGAAAGAAATGCGAGAGTGTTGGAGAGACATGTGTGAGTGTTGGACAGGCGTGCGAGTGTTGGTGAAATATGATTGGTGGAGAGACATGTGAGTGCTGGAGAGACATGTGTGAGTGTTGGAGAGATATATGTGTGTTGGAGAGACATGTGAGTAATGGAGAGACACATGTGTTGAAAAGACATGTGAGAGTGTTGGAGAGACATGTGTGAGTGTTGGAGAGACATGTGAAAGTGTTGGAGAGACATGCGTGAGTGTTGGAGAGACATGTGAAAGTGTTGGAGAGACATGTGCGAGTGTTGGAAAGACATGTATGAGTACACATGTATGAATATACATGTATGAGTGTTGGAGAGACATGTGTGAGTCTTGGAGAGACGTGTGTGTGTGTGTTGGAGAGACATGTGCGAGTGTTGGAAAGACATGACTTGGAGAGACGTGTGTGTGTTGAAGAGACATGAGTGAGTATTGGAGAGATATTTGAGTGTTGGAGAAACATGTAAGTGTTGGAGAGACATGTGAGAGTGTTAGAGAGACATGTGAGAGTGTTGGAGAGACATTTGAATGTTGGAGAGATATGTGAGAGTGTTGGAGAGACATATGAGTGTTGGAGAAACATGTAAGTGTTGGAGAGACATGTGAGTGTTGGAGAGACATGTGAATGTTGGAGAGACATGTGAGAGTGTTGGAGAGACATATGAGTGTTGGAGAGACATTTGAGTGTTGGAGAAACATGTAAGTGTTGGAGAGACATGTGAGAGCGTTGGAGAGACATGTGAATGTTGGAAAGACATGTGAGAGTGTTAGAGAGACATGTTAGTGTTAGAGAGACATGTTAGTGTTAGAGAGACATGTGTGAGTGTTGAAGAGACATGTGAGAGTGTTAGAGAGACATGTTAGTGTTGGAGAGACATGTGAGAATGTTAGAAAGACATGTGAATGATGGAGAGACATGTGAGAATGTTGGAGAGACCTGTGAATGTTGGAGAAACATGTGAATGTTGGAGAAACATGCGTGAGTGTTGGAGAGACAGCAGTACTGGGGAGACTTACCGTAGCGTTGATGCTGGGGCTGTCACTCCATGCTGGGGGTGGTGAGAGCGGGCGGGCGGGCGGTCGGAGGGAGGGGGTGTTGCAGTGGGCGGCAGGCGGCGGGCGGCGAGAGTGCGGCTGCAACAGTTGGTTGTTGGTGGGTGGCAGCGGCGGCGGCGGCGGCGGCGGAGGTGGCGGTGGTGTGTGGCATGCACGCGGCCCAGCACCTGAATGGCAGCCGCAGCTGCCGCTCTGCCGTTATGAGGGCGGCACCCAAGCAGGGGTGGGCGGGGCCAGGAAGGCGGAGCCTCCCCGCCCACTCCGCCCACTCCGTCTCCAACATCCTCAAATTTTTCTTATCATAGAGATCAAGAGGGCGAGTCTTACTGCCGATGATTCCCTCAAATAGAATTCCTGAGAGGCCAAGACATTCCACTCTCCTTGCTTTACCTCCTTCTGGCCTCTGTGTCAGGCATGCCATCCCCACCTTCTATTTTCACCCCTTTTTCCCCCTTCCCCCCTCTATCCACCTCATTCTACCTCGCAAAATCTCTCCACACTATATTACACACCATAAAAATTCCCCAGCCATCGTTCTGAGCCATGAGTTAACCAACGGACTCGCGGAAAACCCTCACCCGACCTACATTTCTTCTCATTACGGTTGCTCTAGACTCAATTCCAAGTCCCCCTGACTCACCTACGTCGCGTCCTTAGCCTTAACAACCTACTGAAGACTCCTCTCTAGCACATAGCATGCTAGGAAACGCTTTAATAAAACTCTTGAAATATAGGGTGCATAGCGACGCGTGATTTCTTCCCCCACAATATGGACCTGCAGACCTATTTATGAAATGGAACGTGAACTTACCAAGAAATTGCACCCAAATTCCTTCACCTTCTTTTGGAGATCTTTCGAAAAATCGCAAGGAGTGAGTATGTGAGAAAATTTTGTTATTGCTTTGTCGTGGATATCGGTTATAATGGACTCCTATATAAAATGAATATATATATATATATATATATATATATATATATATATATATATATATATTATATATATATATATATATATATATATAAATATATATATATATATATATATATATATATATAATTTCCTTAAGGAGCTGGGAAAAAGACTCATCAGGGTAACTAGGGATCCCAGGGCAGCTAGTTTTCTGTTCCAGCGGCTCAGCGCGGCTGTTCAAAGGGGTAATGCATGCTGCATTTTGGGCACACGCCCCAGCTCTGAGGAGCTGGATGAGATTTTCGCCTTATAATCGGTGATACACACGTAACAACATGTATATATATATATATATATATATATATATGCCACCTTTATATCAACAATGTATCTCTTAAATCTTCTGTGCCATATTATGTAATATATATATATATATATATATATATATATATATATATATATATATATATATAATATATATATATATATATATATATATATATATATATATATAATATTACAAAGGCTATAATTCAGAATGAACTTATATAAGAACTTGGTTGTCAATACTGAGGTGATAGAGGCAGACTGTGAACATTTCAGGACTCTTTTTTAAAGGGAACGTTTCGCCACGTTTCGTCAGTCCTAGGACTAAGGAAGCCTATTGACGCATGCTCCTCTAACCTATAAGAACATAAGAAAGAAGGAACACTGCAACAGGTCTACTGACCCATGCGGATCAGGTCCATGTCCCCCCCCACATTAGCCCAATGACCCACCCAGTCTGGCCACCTCCACTCAAGGATGGAGCACGGCACCAGACCCAGCAGCACAAGCTAGTCAGGTCCAACTCACAACCACCCAAACCCACTCATGCATTTATCTAACCTATTCTTAAAACCAAACAACGTTTTAGCCTCTATAACTGTACTCGGGAGTTTGTTCCACTCATCCACGACTATTACCAAACCAGTACTTTCCTATATCCTTCCTGAATCTGAATTTTTCCAACTTGAAACCATTGCTGCGAGTCCTGTCTTGGCTGGGAATTTTCAGCACGCTATTTACATCCCCTTTATTTATTCCTGTTTTCCATTTATACACTTCGATCATATCCCCCCTAATTCTACGTCTTTCGAGAGAGTGCAGATTCAGGGCCCTCAGTCTATCCTCATATATAAGATTTCTGATACATGGGATCATCTTTGTCATCCTCCTCTGTACGTTTTCCAGAGCATTTATATCCATTCTGTAATACGGTGACCAGAACTGAGGAGCATAGTCTAAATGAGGCCTAACCAAGGATATAATTTTAAGCCAACTAATGTTTCCTCAGTGACGCTACCTGTGAATCTTTTTCACTCACCTACAACTCTATTGCCAAACCAGTACTTCCCAATATCCTTTATATATACATAAATAATCCGCACGTAGGCTAATGAAACGTTAATGACGTTTCGATCCAAGCTAGAACGAAATAAGTTGCTCTCTCATAAGTTGTTCTCTCTCTCCTATGTGTGGGTTATATGTGTATTGTTCCAGTCACGGTATTGTGCCTCTTTATTCTTCATCCTTTCTAAATCTAAGTTTGTCCAACTTGAATCCATTACTGCGAGTCCTGTCATGGTTAGATACTTTCAACAAGTTATTTACATCATTTTTATTACGTATCCACGACGGAGGAGCTTGGGATGGTTGCCGGAATTTTTTTTCTCCTGAATTTTCGTTTTTTTTTCGCTTATAACACGTGAAGGCCTCATCCGATCGACTGCAAATTTTAACGCTGGTGTGCGATAGCCAGTGAAAAATTCTGGGAAGAATTGACACGTGTTGGTTCTCTCTGATAAGAATCGTTGATCCCGTTCCTAGATTCCTGCCAGTGACTTCGATAACTTCTAAAAGCCTGTGCTGCTTGACTTCAGCCGCTCAAGACAGCTGCACTTCCTAATTCGACGACGGCGGAAAATCACGAAATTCGAGGGTGTGAGAGCATAGCTGCCAATTTTGAGTGGACAGATATTTTTTGCTATTTTTTTTACTCCTCTTAAATCACGTCAAATATATTCGAATCTTCCGCTCTTGAACGATGTTATTCTTAATGACTGTTTTATCTCACGACCAGGATGGTGCCCATTAGGTTTATTAAACGCAGAATCACTGAAATTCGTTTGATAACTGGGGAATACCTCTTCTGATCGGATTCAAACTTTCTCTCCTAGTGTGTTTTCTAGTAAGCAAGGTTCATGTTGTAATTGGGCTCCATAATTCCCAGTTTGCCAATTTTGTTAACCTGTGATACCGATTTCAAAAAAACTCCTAAACGAAATCAGTCTTTTAATGGCTGATTCATCGAATGAAATAAATACAATTTATTTTTATCAGTATAGACTGTGTAGTGCAAATTTTCGTTGGATTCTGTGCAGTAACTGGAAAAATGCATCTTTTGCTCGGCTTCAAACCCTTACTGCTGATGTGTTTTCCTCAAGTTTAAATATGCCAGTTTGATTAATAAAATTAATTTCTGGGAAACAACTGGAGAATGTCTCTACAGATCGGAATTAAACCACAGTGTTGGACTTTGCAGTGTTATTCTACGCTAAATCTACATGATGTACTTTTGTGCAACTTTTATATTTACGTGACTTTGTAGATGGTCCAAGTCGGACCGAAACGTCGTCGTAAGCTCCTCCTATGGGCGGGTTATTTGTGTATTGTTTCGGTCAAGGTATTGTGCCTTTTTGTTCTTTCTGTACTTTTATGTGTCCATAGTCATGTATGTTACCTTGAGACCATTGTAAAAAAAAAAAAATATTTACATTATCTAGCCGGGTTAAAACTTACGTATCTAGAAAAAAATAATTATTGGAGCTGCCGTATTCTTGGATCAAAGTGATTGTCATACATAACTCCACTGCCAAGGTGCTGTGTGACCTCTTACGGGTTTAACACTCCCTGAGTGTGCAGTTTCGGAAGAATGTCGCGAGGTACAGGGTTGTCGCGAGGTACAGGGTTGTCGCGAGGTACAGGGTTGTCGCGAGGTGCAGGGTTGTCGCGAGGTGCAGGGATGTCGCGAGGTGCAGGGTTGTCGCGAGGTGCAGGGATGTCGCGAGGTACAGGGTTGTCGCGAGGTGCAGGGATGTCGCGAGGTACAGGGTTGTCGCGAGGTGCAGGGTTGTCGCGAGGTGCAGGGATGTCGCGAGGTACAGGGATGTCGCGAGGTACAGGATTGTCGCGAGGTGCAGGATGTCGCGAGGTACAGGATTGTCGCGAAGTACAGGGATGTCGCGAGGTACAGGGATGTCGCGAGGTGCAGGGATGTCGCGAGGTACAGGGATGTCGCGAGGCACAGGGATGTCGCGAGGTACAGGATTGTCGCGAGGTGCAGGGATGTCGCGAGGTACAGGGATGTCGCGAGGCACAGGGATGTCGCGAGGTACAGGATTGTCGCGAGGTGCAGAGATGTCGCGAGGTACAGGGATGTCGCGAGGTACAGGGATGTCGCGAGGCACAGGGATGTCGCGAGGTACAGGATTGTCGCGAGGTGCAGGGATGTCGCGAGGTACAGGGATGTCGCGAGGTACAGGGTTGTCGCGAGGTGCAGGGATGTCGCGAGGTGCAGAGATGTCGCGAGGTGCAGGGATGTTGCGAGGTACAGGGATGTCGCGAGGCACAGAGATGTCGCGAGGTACAGGATTGTCGCGAGGTGCAGGGATGTCGCGAGGTACAGGATTGTCGCGAGGCGCAGGGATGTCGCGAGGTACATGAATGTTACGACGAGGTACGAGAATGTCGCGAGGTAGAATGGAACATTCCCAGCAATTAGATTTGAACGTTTAAATCTGCACACGTCCTCATTACACATGTGAGAGACTAACTGGCATGCGCGGTGTTGTGCAAGTTGCAGATTTCTGCAAGGATGTTGAAACACAGAGGCAGATGCAATATGAGGGAGATTATTGGGTCTTTCTCTTGAGAACGACAATTCAGGAGTAAGAATAGGTGGAAGAGGAAGGAAGAGAAGGAAATGAATGAAGGGGAAAAAGGAAGGACGGAAGGAAAGGAAACGAAAGGAAGAAAAGGTAAAGAAATAGATATTTCCTTTAGCTAAGGTTGATTTAGATTATCTGAGGCTAGCTGAGGCTAGGAGACAGCTACCATCCAGGTGCCTATCCTAGCTCCTTCCACAGATCCTGCATTGCTTTCCATATTCCATCCTCGAAGTGGTTATCGCTGAGGAGGCTTCAGG